CCCCGAGCCGGGGAGCTCCAGCGGGCTGCTGAGTCACGCTAACTAAAGGTAACAGAATAAGATGAAAAGTGATGCCATGGGTCGAACTTGCCTAAACGGGAACCTCTTTAAGTAAGACAGAAACCTGTAAAAACAGAATTTTCCTGCTACCCTCGTTGATAAATGTAAGACACTATGCAATTTTCCTTCCTTCACCAAGGAGCGAAAGGGTACATAAATTTGACTGTGAAAGATCATGTGGGCAAGTCAGTGCTAGAGCACATGTTAAATAGAAACTTATACTTATTCTTCCCTTGAAGTTGATGATTAAAGTTTGGGAAATTCGTACAGGGAAGGGTTTACGGTATTTGGATTTGACCAACTTCCCTGCTTCAACTACATTCAGGTAAAAAGACTTACTAATAAATAACTCAGTCTGGCTCTGGGCGAAGGCAAACATTAAGTAGCTGGCCAGCAGTGCAGTAGTTCCTAGCAGACCAAGTCCCATGCCAGGCAGCCATCTGTACAGTAGCAACACTGTGGAGCAGGAAAAAAAACAACCTGTTTTAGACTAGAGGGAAATATATATCTATATTTTTTTCCCATAATGAGGGGGAGCGGGAAGAAAAAGACACTGTATTTCTAGTCCATTTTATTTTTGTGTTTAGATCAGTGCTCATCAACCTTTATATAGTCAGGGCACACAGTTGCTACCTTTTTAAGAGGTTAAATTTTCATACCACCCAACTTGCTCCGTTTAAGCCGACTCCACTCTTTTTATAACACTTCTGCCCTTAGTACTAACAGTCTCCACTGTCTCATAAAACAACAGCACACATGACATTACAATTGCTGCTCAATAAGCAGAATATCGTCGATGTCACAAACAATCCACCTCAGTGCATTTGGGTATTTTTTACACCAGACATAAAAAAAAACTAGTTTTGTTGCGTTGCTCCTATCAGGTATCATGAAAAGCAGGAAAACTGTAGGCCTTGACTTTTTCATTAAACTGCAATTTGGTGATATTGAAAAGTGCATCTTTGATAGAGCTTTGTGTAAAAATAAAACATTCTCATTATTTCCATTTAAGTGGATTGTTTGCGACAGCCACGATATTCTCAGTAGTATGGCATATGGAAGTAATTCAGACAAAAAACACTATACATCACAAATCTGCAACTGATGAGGCGTCCCCACCGAGGTATCCCCAGCGAGTTAGAAAAGTACCAGCGTGGCAGGAGGATTATGTGGTGGGGTAGCAGTGGGTGGAAGTTGCAGATTTGTGATGTATATAGTGTTTGTTGTCTGAATTCTCTTGTTGCAGTTCTTAAGTGGGGTCTTAATGCCGCTTAATTTGTTCGCTTTTTTGGGGGGTATTTATTGAGGTTTATGATCTTCAGATCAGAGGGGACGTGTGGTGTATTTGGTTGTTTTTGGTTGTGGCAGGGGGTTAGGCCTAGCCTATTGTATTGTTTGGCTGAAAGTGTGAGAGTGAGTAAAGTGTGAGTCTGTGTTCAGTTGTATTGTTTGCAAGTTGATAAAAGTCTGAGTTACTACTGGTGGGAGTTGGAGAGGAGAGAGTTGTATCAAGGCAGAGGAGGCCTGCTGACAGTATAGATTGTGAGAAAGGCTAGTTAGAGCCTCAGTTCAGTTGTGCGTGAAGTGTGAGATTCCAATCCAACGCATCGGGGCCCCAAGGCTGCGGAAGGAATCACAACACAGAGCAGAGGAACAGGTTTGGCTAATTCCTGTTATAGTGGCATGTGACAGAAGGTTAGTAGTGTAAAATCTTTGTTTTATGTTCCAAGTAACAACAAGCTATTTCGGCTAGAAATATAGATCTCTAAGCTGGGGCTGGATTCATCTAGATCTAGAATGTAGACTAGATTAAGTTGCTAATTATGGCGGCAAAGATGGTGGCGGCTGTTCGCCTGATATGGTTAAAACCTTTTGTGGGGAAGGGGATGTCGAGGCATGGCTTACTAAAGTAGAGTTAGTGGCAAAGTTGACGAACATTGATGATGTCGCGAGCTTCATGCCACTGTATCTGGAGGGGGGAGCTTTAGCTGTCTATCTGGAGATGGATGCAAAACAGAAGACTGACATTGTGGCCTTTAAAAAGAGTCTGCGGGAAGCCTTTGCAGAGAATTAATTTACTGCCTATGCAAGGTTAAGGGAGTGTAGATGGGCGGGTGAAGCAGTAGATGTATTTGTTAACGAATTGCAGAGGCTTGCAAGGCTGTGTGGGTTTACTGGGAATGACTTAGAGCAGGTGGTGAAGTTAGCATTTATAACGGGTTTCCCGGACAACGTTGGATTGGAGTTACAGCAAATCTTTGGAGTTGAGGGTATGAGGGTGGCCGACCTTATTGGAAGGGCTCGTGTTTTGGCTCAGAATTCCATGGGTGTAGCAGCTCCATCTGTGGAGCCGGCGTCCAAAGGGAAGAAATGGAGGGTCAAGTGCTTTCAGTGTGGTG